CCAATTAGCTCAGTACTGCAGACCCCCTGTTTTCCAAAAGCTAAGCCATGGACCCTCTACTTTTGAAAACGTTGATATATCTGTGGCAGGCTTTGGTATGTGAATGGTGCCACCGTACCCTCCAACATGTCTCAGTGCAAAACTGGGATGCGCATTTTCCGGGCCACACGCCTGCCAAAGTCACATGACCCATGTGAGAGCACCCCAAAATGGGATGTCCAGGACATTTAACAGGTATGTGCCACGGTGCATTATGCAGATCCCCTGGGGTCCGTGGACCACCAGTTGGGAACCACTGGCTTATTGGATAAAGGACTGGAGCAAACTAGTTAAAATATTGCCTCTTCTGTGAACTCACCACTAAGTGCCTGAGTCTGACCACTGTCACTCAGCCACAGCTTTCCCATTTGCGATCGTGATACTGACCTACCTTACAAGGCTGTTGGGAGGATTGGAAGATAACCCATGCGAATCACTCTGAACACTTGAAAATGCTATATAAATGCTGGTTTATTGTTGATGATTGTTTTTCTTCATTTCTGTATTTTTTCGATAGTTGGTACTGTTTTTCGAAATGTGTTCTGCTTCTGCCAGTCATAGGGAAGGAGAAAGGAGTGTGCCGTACACATGAAATGGGATACCGACCCTCAGATGACTGGAGATACTACTTAGGGGGGTGGGAACCTAAACAACTTACAGCTAGGGAGTAGGTCATAGCTGTCAACTTACAGATTTGAAAATAAGGGACCAGCAGCCTTGAAAATAAGGGACCTGCAGCCTCACCTGTTCCAGGCACTCCAGTCTTCCTGTCCTCCTGCAGTCTGGTCAAACTCATGCTGGGTAGCTTCGAGAACACTGTCCAACCAACTTTGTAACCAGAGGTTCAACTGAATAGAATCTGAATCACATGCACCACAAGGCCTATGCAGCCTCAATTTAACATGGCTCCCTGGCCTGGCTTTGCACTGCAAAGTTTGCAGCAGCACAGGCAACAAAATGGCGTCCAGCATTCAAAAACCCCCTCAGCTTGCATTAACTAGCCACACACAAGGCATGCAAGCTCCACCCCCCAGTCGTTCTTAGACTTCTTATTGGGTGAGCAACAGGGCAGGGAGGGAGGGAGAGGAGCTGCTTCCTTTGAAATTTAAGGGACATCATTTAAGGGACATCCATCAATAAGGGACAGCAGCGGGACGTGGCGCTGGAATAAGGGACTGTCCCTTCAAATAAAGGACACTTGACAGCTAGGGAGTAGGCCCTTTTACTGAACACAGTGGGTAAGCATAAACAGGATTGCACTGTTAGTCGCCACCCTGGCTTCTAAAATTATACCAAGCAAATCACTGCAACCATGAGAACTAGAAACGTGTATTAAATAAAAGAAAACCAAGAATCTTAGGAAGCTGAATTGTGTGCCACGGTTGCATTCTGCATTCCCCTCCTGTACCCCCACGGACTTTTGGCATGTGCACAGACTTAACTATTGTCCATATGGACAGCGGGGAGTGGAAATTAAGTTTGCCGGTTGAAAATTAGGACCAAGTGCCTGCAGTTAAGACCAAGTCCCTGGTGGTTCTCATTCTGCACAAGTTTCGTGCTTCTCTTTTCAGATGGATGAATAGGAAAACCTCACTTTGCATCATCCTGGGAGAGGAGTATGGAACAGTTGTCTGGAAAAGTCAGGACTCCCTGTTGCAGCACCCAGCTTTAGCTTGCTCTTACAGTATTTGTTTATTTAAAAGGTGGTGTTTTTTTTTACTTCACACTTCTGCCAAAAAGGCTTAGCTTAGAGATAAATAAACCAAAACAGCCTCTGCCCTCAGACTTATAATCTAAAATGACACGACACAAAAGGAAAATGAATTGTGAGGGAGGAGGAAATAAGCAAACTCATGTGCCAGTTCTGAGGGGGTTTATTTATATATTAATAATTTTTATTTGCCTGGAACAGTTTTCTGTACCACTGTAAAGACCAAATGCAAGTACACTACTGTGGTACCTCGGGTTAAGAACTTAATTCGTTCTGGAGGTCCGTTCTTAACCTGAAACTGTTCTTAACCCAAGGTACCACTTTAGCTAACGGGGCCTCCCGCTGCCACCACCACGCGATTTTTGTTCTCATCGTGAAGCAATATTCTTAACCCGAGGTACTATTTCTGGGTTAGTGAAGTCTGTAACCTGAAGCGTCTGTAACCTGAAGTGTCTGTAACCCAAGGTACCACTGTACTTAAAAAACTAAACCAAAACAAAAGAGAGGTGGGAGGAAGGAGGAAGGGAGAGGCCTATGGGAAAAGGAGAGTAAGGGTAGAAAGTATATAAATACATCATGCAAATAAATTAGCATATACACCCCTGATATCTATATATTTGCTTACTGCTGCCTTTGAAAGGTCACTTTTTCATAAGCTGCCAGCCTAGTGAGGTCTTTTAGCCCAGTGTGGCAGTATCAACCACTTTGTGACCATCAACACCCTTTCCTTGTCAGTTGCTTTCTCCTTCTGTCCCAGAGCATTAGGATATAATTCAACAATCCATGAATGTGCATCCATATTCCTACCCCTCCAATGACAAGTGAATGAGAGTTATGCTTTCCTAAGCAAAACAGGGCCATGACATGTCAGAACCAGACCATGTGCACAGCGACATCTGTGTCGTGTCACAACAGCAACACTTATCTGTCTCTGAAACGTGCTTTGGAAAAAGGCAGCGCAGTGTCCGATATATTCTAAAAGTCATTTTGTTGTATTAAATGTAACCGGAGATCTAAGGAATTTAAACATAACAGAGGCCAGAGCAGCCTTCCATTGACTTTTATGCATTGAATGTTCCAGATCTCTGTATCCTCCCTCCCTCCCTCCCTCCCTCCCTCCCCTTCTTCAAATCAAACTTTCGCTCTCCCCCCCCCTACAAATAAATTGCAGGTTTAGAAAGCTGGGCTGAAGTCCTCCAGAATGTCAGGGGATTCGGATGAGCTGAGGGCTGCAGGGCCAAGTCAAGAAGTCAAAAGAAGTTGCAGCTGGACGTCAGGCTCAAGGTCTTAGTTCCAAATTCTTCTAATGAGCAGCTGGGATGTTCAAGGAGGGGAGGAGCTAAAGGTTTCTGGTCTCTCCACTGCGCCAATCGGGAGGGGGTGGCCAGGCACCCCCCTTTGTTTGCTGCCACCCTGTCCTCTGCTGCTGCTGGATGGGTCTATGTCCCAGTTGCACATCTTATAGGGCAGAGACCTATTCAAAGTCTGCACTTTGCCACGGTGGCCACAAAGGTCATCATCGCCTGCTGGCAATGGAATCTGTGGGACACAGTGCAGTTCCCACCTTTCCCCCCCATATATCTTGTGGGGCACTCCTGGATTTGGGAGTATCCTAAAGAGAGGAGCAGGATGCGGGTGGTGCTATGGGTTAAACCACAGAGCCAAGGACTTGCTGATCAGAAGGTCGGCAGTTTGAATCCCCACGACGGGGTGAGCTCCTGTTGCTCGGTTCCTGCTCCTGCCAACCTAGCAGTTCGAAAGAATGTCAAAGTGCAAGTAGATAAATAGGTACCACTCTGGCGGGAAGGTAAACAGCGTTTCCGTGCACTGCTCTGGTTCGCCAGAAGCGGCTTAGTCATGCTGGCCACATGACCCGGAAGCTGTACGCCGGCTCCCTCGGTCAATAAAGTGAGATGAGTGCCGCAACCCCAGAGTCGGTCACGACTGGACCTAATGGTCAGGGGTCCCTTTACCTTTAAAGAGAGGAGCAGCGGCACCAAAAAGTAAACAAGGGAAGCAAAGCCCCTTTTTGGTATCCCCAAATGATACTGTATTTATGCGTATACAGTGGTACCTTGGTTCTCAAACTTAATCCGTTCCGGAAGTCCGTTCCAAAACCAAAGCGTTCCAAAACCAAGGCCTGCTTTTCCATAGAAAGTAATGCAAAACGGATTAATCCATTCCAGACTTTTAAAAACAACCCCTAAAACAGCAATTTAACATGAATTTTACTATCTAACGAGACCATTGATCCATAAAATGAAAGCAATCATCAATGTACTGTACTATATAATAAATAAGACAGTATTGCAGATGATAAAAATTAAAATTAAAAATTTCTTCTTATGATAGAAATTCATTGTTTGAATGGGGGGCTTTTATCCATTTCCGCAATCACACAATCAATCAGTCAGTAGTTGAACTGGGTTGCACACAGTCACAAAGAGCAAATTAACTGAACAAGTCTCAAAAACAAAAATGCAAAATAAATAGCAAAAACAAAAGCGCCAAACTTAATCCATTCCAGAAGTCTGTTTGGCTTCCGAAATGTTCAAAAACCAAGGCACAGCTTCTGATTGGTGCAGGCGCCCCAGAAATAATAGCCGACAGCCGCATCAGATGTTCAGCTTCCGAAAAATGTTCGAAAACCAGAACACTTACTTCTGTGTTTTCGACATTTGAGAACCAAGGCATTTGAGAACTAAGGTACCACTGTATTTGCAAATAGTTCTGTACGGTACAATAAAATATCTTCTTCAGAGGCAAATAAACTTGGTTCTGGCATCTTGGTCCATTAATATTTTTCATTGATCTCACCAAGCAAATATGAAAACAGAACAAGAAGACCTGACAAATGTATTTTAAAAGTCAATAATAATATCCAAAGTAAACAGCACCTAGCAAAGTTAATATCTGAAATGATCACCAGAGTGCACATAAACTTTAAATGTCCTTCTAATTATTATTTATTTGAGGTACTTCTTGCCCACTCGTCACCGGATTCTATCCTATAGCAACATACAATATAATGATCTCAAGACATTAAAAGCAAAACAGAACCATATCATTTATAACATGAATGTAACCTTAAAACAGCAGAAGCAAAAACCAGCCAGGGCAACCAGGGCTGGGCCCCTTTCCAACCACAATTTATCCAAAGGCCTGGGTGAATAAATATGTTTTGAACTGGCACAGAAGACCCACAGCAGTTGGTGCCAGTTGAAGGTGGGCAGGAAGACTACCCAAACAATCAGGGTGCTAGTACTGAACGCACCTTTCCATGTTTTTCGTCGCACAGCGAATGCTTGGCAAATGCAGCAGCTTTTGCCACATAAAATGGTGATAATGTCTGGGCAGGTTTGTACCATGTTGATAGTGATCTTTTCTCTTCCCCTGGGGTTGCCTACAAAAGAGCAAGGCCCAGGAAGGAGAAGACCAGGCAATCTGAAAACAGGTATGTTGTAACGTCGTCAAAATTACATATGGAATTCTGTGTAACTTTCCTTTTGACATTTTTCTTTTTAAAAAGGGGGGGAAAGAACAAAAAACATCCACTGGGTCTGCAAAAAGGAACAAAGGTGGGTGGAATAAGGTTCTTAATACTTTCCCTGTTGACTGGGAGCTTTTTCCCTGCCCAGAATTGCTCCCCGAGTTGCATTTCTCCTGGCAAAAGAAAAGTGTAAAGACCTGCAAAGTGTGTGTTTGTGGCGGGGGGAGCGAGCCTCTTGTAGTTTTCTGTATGATTTTGAGCAGACAAATGGCATAAAGGAAAAGGGCTGGTCATCCCCACTTGCCTTTCATCCATGCCTGAACCCAGACTTTAGTGGCTACCATATTTTTTGCTCTATAAGACGCACCAGACCACAAGACGCACCTAGTTTTTGGAGGAGGAAAACAAGAAAAAAAAATTTCTGAATCTCAGAAGCCAGAACAACAAGAGGGATCGCTGCACAGTGAAAGCAGCAATCCCTCTTGCTGTTCTAGCTTCTGGGATAGCTGTGCAGCCTGCATTCGCTCCATAAGACGCACACACATTTCCCCTTACTTTTTAGGAGGGAAAAAGTGAGTCTTATAGAACAAAAAATACGGTACTTTTTGCTTTACAAAGAGTTGGGGGAAAGCTACACATATCTCTGATATTTTAACTGCTGCCATAACTGTATTGTTTATCGTTATATTGATTGTTAATTTAAACTTATTGTGGTTCTGATTTGTTTAGTACGGTATGTGAGTCTGGTCTGGGTCTGTAATAAATTCAATTCAACTCTGTGCAGTTTTTTGTTTCTAGAAAGAAAAAAGTGAGTCATGAGGTGGGGATTAGCTGGCAAAATCTTACCTTAGGCTCAAGCAGCATAGAAAGTACCGGTACTTTAAAAGAAGGAAGCTCGTCAAAGTGTTCAAAAAATGGGCTGCGTATTTCCTCAAATGTGTCAAAGTCCTTTTCTTTTTTTTTTGGTTCGTAGAGCGGCTTACTTGGGGCTTCCTTCTCCAAGAAGTGCGCTTCCAAAGATAAGCAGGCAGTGGTCATGGTTGTGCGCCTAGTGAGTATGAGACAAGAGCAGGGCAGCTGGTTTAGTGGTGACCTGCTTATGCTGAAGCCACGGGGCCATAGCTCATTTGCATCATTTAGTTGCATGCAGCCAGCCATAGCTGTATTTCATTTTCCGTGGGAAAACATAGTGGCGGTGCCAAGCTCCAATTCATGCCTGAATTATTGCCTGTGCTAAGAATTCTCCAGCACAGAATCCACGGGAGCACAGAAACCCTGCAGTTTGTGGCAGTAGGCATAGGGTTTGGCTTCTTGGGAGTCTTGTTTTTCATACAAAAAAATGCAAGATTCTAGTCCTTAGGGAAGCAACAATGTTCTTGAAAATACTTGGCAATACTTTCTGACCTTGGAAGACAGAGGGCTCGATAAATAAGATTTCCATTGCTGGCTGTGTTAAGCAAAACAGCGCCAAAATATTCAGTTTATACAAATGAACATAATTTAGACACATTGTGGAATTCAGCTTTCCTCGGTGCATAATTTGGTTTGTCTTAGCTCATAATGATAATGTTTCAAGTCACACTGCGCTCCTGCTTGAGGAGACCGACTAGAGGGGCAGTATTCTCCAGCTGTGGAAGATCCAGGATGTGTGGTGGTGTGTTAAGTGCGTCAGGAGTGACAAAGATCTGCTTGTAGGTCCGCTTAACTTTTCTGGTGGGTGGCGTTGTGCCCAGGCATCGGGTCTGCAGAGATCTGGCTGGGGGTGGAGAGTTGTGTTTGCCTATACACACCTTCATATGCAAATAGGCAGTCATTGGGACAATGTAGTCTCAGCTGCACACCGCTATGTGCCACCCAAGCGTTGTGTCCCCAGCATACTCTGCAATGTTGTGAAGGATCCTGAGTGGCAACTCCTGCGGCAGCTAGACTGGTGACTGGGAGTGGCCGCCCGGACCACATAACACTGGTCCTGAGAGATCTGCATTGGCTCTCAGTACGTTTCCGAGCACGATTCAAAGTGTTGGTGCTGACCTTTAAAGCCCTAAACGGCCTCGGTCCAGTATACCTGAAGGAGCGTCTCCACCCCCATCGTTCAGCCCAGACACTGAGGTCCAGCGCCAAGGGCCTTCTGGCGGTTCCCTCATTGCAAGAAGCCAAGTTATGGTGAACCAGACAGAGGGCCTTCTCGGTAGTGGCGCCCGCCCTGTGGAACGCCCTCCCATCAGATGTCAAAGAGATAAACAACTACCTGACATTCAGAAGACATCTGAAGGCAGCCATGTTTAGGGAAGTTTTTAATATTTAATGCTGTATTGTTTTTAACACTTGATTGAAAGCTGTCCAGAGTGGCTGGGGAAACTCAGCCAGATGGGTGGGGTATAAATAATAAATTATTATTATTAATTATTATGGGCTGTGTTGTGCTGTGCAAAGGCCTCGTTCTGGCCTGATCCACAACTTCCCCGCAATTCCAGGCAGCGTCAGTCAAACATTCAAGAATCTACGCACATTTTACGGCTGCAAAGGTCTGTGCAAATTCTTACCCTGGTAAAGGATCCCGCAATGTACACATGGGGTTTTAGTGTTGAGTAAGTTAAGATTTTGAGCAGGGCCCTTAACACAAACACTCACCACTAAGCATGGAAGGATCTGTCCGTTTCAGTTCCCTCTGTTTCTCCAAACTAAAATTCACTTCTCTACATTTCTGCAGCAATTTGTGGATTCTCTTTTCTCCTCGTGAAATCCAAGCAGCATTTTAGGGTGAATTTCTTCAATTAATCACTTTCTTGTGTTCCGTTTTGACTAACGTACAAGTTTTTGCAAGCAATCCCCCCCCCATATAATGTATCTTTGTATGTTATTTTTGCCAATATATTCATTTTTACGGTCACTTTCCTCTAATACAATGCCTTATTGTCGACGTCATTTGTTCGGAGAACTGCAGCGCAAAATTTGGGTAAGTGTGAATTTTGGAGGACAGCTATGATTTGGTTCTCGTGGCATTTTGGAACGTGCAGATTTGATACATTTGAATGCAAACCTAATCAATTTTCTCCATCATCCTTGCTCACCACTGGCTTGGCAGTAGTGAACTGATCGTTCAGGGCTGGCCCATTTTGGTGCCTGAGGTAAAGGTCAAGATGGCATCTTCCCCTTCCCAATTCCATGTTCAGAAAGCAAACAGGACTGGCAGCGGAATCTTACTTCAACCCTGGCAATAGGACAGTGAGGGCAGCAGGCTAGCTTAAGGGCCACAGGGAAACTGTGTGTGGCACACACAGCTCTATCCTCCAAGCCCTTGTTGACATTCCTTGACCCCCAACTTCAGCCACCTGAGGCAGCTGCCTCCTTGTGCCTAATGATAAGGCCGGCCCTGCTCTCTTTTAAACCTCATCATGAGCACATTTGTGACAATGAGGTGAACGCAGGCAGGGTTTATTTCTAACTTGGTGCTGGTCTTTGGAGCCCCGTGCAGCTGCTAGTATGAGCCTCCCCGATACCTCATCCTATTCTCCTGAGGAAAAGGGTTGAGAGATTGTTGATCCCCACAGCCATACTGAATTCCAGAGGTTCAGAGGAGTCACCAGGGCCAACCCAATGCTTGCCGACACCTGAGGCGAACCACAAATTATGCCCCTCTCCCTGCCAGGGAAGAACGGGTGAGTGACGATGTACATCAGGACCAAGCGGGGAACAAGGATCTCCATAGGAATCTGTTGACCCTGTCAATCCTGCCATCTGAGGAGGTTGCCTCACCTTACCTCATGGGTGGGCCGGCCCCGGGGAGTTGCTGCTTCTGAATAACTCCAGCGAGACATAGAGGAGGGGCAAGGTTGGTGGCAACCTCAAATTTCGGTCGGCTAAATAAGTTCAGGGGACGCGGGTGGCGCTATGGGTAAATCCTCAGCACCTAGGGCTTGCCGATCGCATGGTCGGCGGTTCAAATCCCTATGGCGGGGTGAGCTCCCGTCTTTCGGTCCCAGCTCCTGCCCACCTAGCAGTTCGAAAGCACCCCTAAAGTGCAAGTAGATAAATAGGTACCGCTTTCTAGCGGGAAGGTAAACGGCGTTTCCGTGTGGTGCGCTGGTGCTGACTCACCAGAGCAGCTTCGTCACGCTGGCCACGTGACCCGGAAGTGTCTCTGGACAGCGCTGGCCCCCGGCCTCTTAAGTGAGATGGGCGCACAACCCTAGAGTCAGACACGACTGGCCCGTACGGGCAGGGGTACCTTTACCTTTACTAAATAAGTTCAGGCAAAATGTGTGGACCCTGGTTTGGAACACCTCAGGGAATGAGCATTTAGGAAACAGAAGGAGATGGAATCCAAGATTCTCTGCTTTTGCTTCTTGTGGCAGAAGTTTCCCTTCAGTCACTGACGTCACAGCAAGCTCCCCCACCATAGCTTTTCAGACTAAGTCTAAACCACCCACAGCCCAGTCCCACTGGAGCAATTTACCCCTCAGTTGCCCTCAGCTTTTGGTATTTCAGCGCCGCATGGTCTTAACAAATGCCAGCAGCTCTAGCAATAGCAAGAAAGTTGGGTTCACGAGAGAGCAGCCTTAGTTTGGGATTGCTCAGTGGCCCCGTGCCACAGAGGCGATTGGGCCCTTTAAGACCTCCAACCTCTGGATTTTAATTTTAATTTTTTGCAGCAAGCGCTGCTTCCTTTGGAATCCTAAGGCACTCTAACGTGCCTGCATTGACTGCAGTTGAATGCTGTCCCCCCCACCCCTCGCCTGCCCGCCACTTGGTCACCTGACTTGGCAACCCTGACAGTCCTGCAAAGGGTCTCTTCCCACCCCTTCAGTTGCTGGGAAGGCAGGCTGCGCCGTCCCCAGGTCTGCATACTGTGGTTGAGCGAGAGATTATTCCTCCTAATAACCTGCAGTTTGGGAAGGTTTTGAAACAATAATAAGTAGGCGTAATGTTTTCCATGCCTCATTCCTGGGCAGGCCAGGAGCAAAATCCGGTTTTAATTAAAAGAAAGGGAGAGGAGGAAAAGAGAGCCAGGGAGGGAGAGCAAAAATAAAAGAGGGAAAGAGTTAGCTGGTGCTGCTGTTGCAGACTTGCTAGTAGTAGACTAAAACAGAAGATGCGTGTGTGAAATGTAGTGGCTTTGAAATGTTGAGTAATGCGTGCAGTCCAGTGGGGAACTTTTGTATAGACCCAGATTGGCACCTCTAAAGTGCCCCATAGCAGCCACACGTAGCAAGGTTCCCCCTTGGGAATCACACCCCCTCCAAGTATCCCGATTTTCCAGGGACAGTCCCAGAATTACAGAAGCCATCCCAGTTCCTGACTGGATCCCAGAATGTCCCGTTTTTCCTTTTCCTTCCCCTCTATGTCTCGGAGAACAATTAAAAGTTGTGTGTGTGTGTGTGTAGGTGCAAAAACAGAGTCCTGTTGTAGACTGAAAATAAAAAACCTGCACCGAACGAAGGAAACGGCAAAGCTAGCATATGAAGCCCTTCCTATAATTTTGAAGGGAAATGTAACCAATCCAACTTAAACTTCTTTAATTGCAGTGCTTCCTCAGCCAGCCATTTTTAAGGAAACGTGCGAAGTCTTTATTTCTGTATTGTGAATGGAGCCTTGCACTGCCTAATCAGAAGTAAGCCACACTGTGTTCAATGGAGCTTACTCCCAGGTAACTGGGTAAAGACTGTGCAGCCGTACGCAGCAATCCTAAGCATTTTTCCTCAGAACTAAGTCCCACTGAATTCAACAGGATTTACTCTCTGGTATGTTCTGATCATTCTCTCAGTTTCCGTTGTTGTTGTTGTTGTTATATCCTGTCTTTTTCCTTAACAGGGACTCAAGGCAGCTTATAGCTACGGTTTTATTTCATTCCATTTATCTGTTGAAGGTGCTGTACACAATCTCTTCCCTCACACATTTTTTCTTTACAACAATCCTGTGAGGTAGGTTAGGCGGAGAGGTTGTACTTGGCTCAAGGTGACAGATGTATATGTGTCTATGGCATCTGTGTTTGTGGGAGATCAAACACAGGAGTAGCTTAACAGGACTTCTTAAGGTGC